AAAGCGCAAGCAAGCCTGAGCAATGTGTGCTGGTGAAGGTAGGAGCCAGTTGCAGGGCTGTCGGGGAAGAATGGAAAACACACGTTGTTCTTGCTCAGTAAATCGAGGAAGGTTCTCAGAAGGAGGTAGTCCCAAGGGCTCTGGGCACTAAACCTGTCAGCAGACAGAGGGCAGAGGGCAAGAAACAGTATTCTGGATAAGAGCCCTATGTAAGAGCCCTACGAGTCAAGACTGAGAGAGCAATTCCAGGCATGTGCAGGTCTGGTAGAGAGGGAGGTAAATGTGATACCATGAGGCAGAAGGAGACTTTGGGATAACCTCAGAGAGGCCATTGTGAGCCCAGGAGCTGGACCATTGCAAGGAGCTTAGGAGCCGTGGAAGTTCTGGAGAAGGTTGAGGACACATTCAGAGCCTGTGTGAGGGTGAGCTCCTGGCCCCTTGCTGTCCTCATTTCCTCTTCTTGTCTCCTTTCTCTTCCCACCTGGTTTCTAGCTTCCTCCTCCAGCCTTTCTCAGCACCACTACCACCACCCCTGCCGCCCCCATGATCAGCAGTGGGCAGAGGTGTGGCCTCTTAGCCCCATGTTTGGGTCTGCCAGCCTCTTAGCCTGCAGCACTTCCTGAGTTTGCTGTGGCCTCCAGGGGGCTGTGAGCCTGGCAGCTGCTGAGAGACTCCAGGAAAGCAGACAGGGCCCATGGAAACCCTGCCAAAGAGCAAAAAGCTAACTCCATGGATGAGATCTGAACCAGCCACTGCCCTTCTCAGCTTGACCAGTGACCCACATCCCAGAGCTGTCAGCACTCAAGGGGACCTCAGGCCTGAGATCACATGGCAACCAGCTTCCTTCTGCCCTGCCTCCCCAAACCATCATCTCCACACAGAGCTGGATCTCTCCTCTCCTAAGGAAGCTGGTGGTCATGCAGCCCAGCCCACCCAATTGACTGATGTAGGGGGTACAGGTGGCACCCAAGAACTTGTAACTTCCGCTAGTCACTGGGAGAGGCTGAGGCCACTGGTCTAAGGACCACATACCCCCAGCAGCATGGAAGGAAGTTCTTGGCACCCTGAGGCATGACCTGGCCTAGTTCAGTCAGCCACTTGTGTGGGCCCCAGGCAGAAACACCTTATAAATGACCCAGTGACTCTGGTGTGAGGCCAGGTTTGGATCCTGTATCTTAGATGTGGCTCAGAATGGCAGTACTAGTGACTGACAGCCATCAGATCTTCTGCCACTCTGAGTGCAGGAAAGGTAGGCACTGTCACCGTTCAAAAATCGCACATGAGGAAAATGAGACCCAGAGAGGGAAGGCCACCTGCCCAAGGGCACAGAGCTGAGGAGCAGCCTGGGTATCCTGTTCCACTTCACTTCATCCAACTACCATGAGTTCCCAAAGTCCTGACAGAGGTGCCTTTTTGGCTGGCCTCTGGCAGGAGACAGAGCCCATAGACTCCCACACAGGCCTACCACAGGGCTATAAATGCCTACCCTGCACACATCACTGAGCCACCTCCAAGGTACAAGGTCCCAGCCTGATCCACCCTTGAGCATATGTGCACCCACCCACAATCCCCTGCTCATGCTCAGTCGCACAGCTGTCTTGGACAGCCTCTTGGACACTGTCTAATTTGAATCACTGTTGTTTTATTAAATGAAGGCAGCAGGGCTGTGAACTGCCTGTATAGTTTCAATTTCCTAAGCACTCCAAGGCTGTTGGCCTGGGCTGCCATAAGCCTAGTCATCAGATACAGGCATTGTGGGTGCTAGGTAGGAGCCTGTCCAGCCTGCCCCTGACCACATCAGGCTGAGGAAGACAGCAGGAGCACATCAGGGTCCCCACAGAAGGACCCTGAGCCTCAGTGTACATGTTTGTATGACACAGCAGAGGACAGGGCAGACCCATATACTATCAGAGCCTTAGTTCTGTGGAATCTTCAAGTGAGGTAGCCCTAGGCCCCCCAGAGAGGGTGTGTAGTCTACTCAAGGTCACACGGCAAAGAAAGACAGATTCTAGCCAAGTCTCCAGACCTAGATAGAGGAGTGCAGCTGCTGCTGAGGCTCTGATACCATCAAAGCCAGAGTACTGCAGGCAGATGGGCTGATGGTCCAGAAAGTATGGGTCAGTGCATTTGCACAGCACATACAAGGCACTGGGTTCCATCTCCAAAACTGCAAGAAAAGAAAAAGCGTCCAGCATTCCAGGCCCAGGGCAGCACTAGTGACGTGGCAGTGGGCGGCAACTGTGGTATGGAATTCAGTGGCAATGGTGGTAGCATGGGTTGGAGATTACATGGCAGTTGGTGATGTGGCAGCCAGTGCTGTGTAGTAGTAGTTGGTTTATCACCCCCTAGGAACAGTCAGTCCCATGCACTCTCCAGCCTGCTCTGTCCCTAGCCCCAGTCACTGCCTCCCCCTTTGGGGAGCAGGAGCAGTTTGTGGAAAGTCGGCACTGCTGTTTTATTTTAAAGATGGGGAAGCTGAGGCACCAAAACAAAATCATTTATCCAGATTGACTCAGAGCTAGGATCTGAAGCCAGACTGTCTGAGTCTGAAACTCACCTAGGTTCTTGGAGCTCAACACCCCCAGCTCCAGCCTGGCCCCAAGAGGAAGGGGGAGGTTAAGAAGTCACAGTTACTGTCCACTGTCTCAGAGGTCCTGTGAGACAGCCCAAGGGCCCTTCTGGATCAGCCCTGGCAGAGTGTTCCAGGATTTCCATTCCCTGAGATGCTGAAGCTTAGAGGCCCATGTGGACATCCCAGGCAGGAACCCTCACATCAGACAAGTCAACACTTCCACATGCTCAGGACAGGGCTAGACAGAAGGAAGCTGTCAACAGATCAAACAGGCCCAGTCCAACTCTGGCTCCTCATTCTTACCAGCAGATCGGACCTGGCCTACCCCGGAATTTTTCTCAGCACTAAGTAAGGCCAGTACAGGGCCTCCTGGCTACTGAGTAGGCCATGATCCCTCTCTCTCAGGTATGATGTTGGTCTCATTGTGACCTGTCTCTCTGTTCCTCTGAAGCCCAGGCCTGGACTGCAAGGACCCTAAGTGCTTACAGCCACGAGGCACAAGCCTCTGTACACTGCTTTCCTGGGTTCCTGAGACACAGTGGAGGTTCAGGAACTATGAGCTGAGATGATGAATGGGTGGGTAAGCCCACAGAGGACTGACTAAGAATCCAAGAGCCAGGTCATACTGGGTCACTAGGGGCTGGCAAGATGGCTCTGCAGGTAAAGGTGCTTGCCGCCAAGCCCAGTCTCCAGAACCCACATGGTAGAAAGATAGAACTGACTCACAAAGTTGTTGTCTTCTGATGTCCATGTGTGCCATAGAGCATGTGCACATGTACACATATGTACACAAACACACACACACACACACAATAGATTACTAGATTTTGTAAATGCAACAGTCCCCATCCCAACATGCTCCCAGCTTCTGTTTTCCCTGAAGAGGACTGGACAGCCTAAAGTTCTCAAGGGTTGTACCTCTCTCTCCAACCCTGGATCATCCAAGATGCTCCCATCACAAGGTCCTAACCTTAGTTACAAAAAGTCCATAGACTGTTTTCCCAAAGGAGGTCACAGTCCCAAGTCCTGGGAACTGGGATTAGATAGTCACAGGTCTCTTGTTTACAATGGTCCCTCTAAGAATTTTTCAGCTTTAAGACCATGTGACGGTTGAACCCATCCAACCATCTTGACTGTCACCTTCATTACCACACTCAATAAATTATAGCAGATGTCTGACACTTTAGTATAAACAGATCTTTGAGGGGATAGAGAGATGGCTCAGCAGTTAGAGCACTGGCTGCTCTTGCAGAGGACCCAGGTTCAGTTCCCAGCACCTGCATGGTGGATAACAACCATATGTAACTCCAGCTACAGGGGACCTGATGCCCTCTCAGCCTCTGAGATCTTTGCATGCAGGTGGTACACTTGCATACATGCAGGCAAAACACTCGTACACATAAAATACAAATAAATAAATTTTTAAAAATAAATGAAGGGCTGGAGAGATGGCTCAGTGGTTAAGAACACTGGCTGTTCTTGCAGAAGACCTGGGTTCGAATCCCAGTACCCACATGGCAGCTAACAACTGTCTATAACTCCAGTTCCAGGGGATCCAACAGCCTCTTCTGTACTCCGAGGGCATTGCACAACACGGGTGCACTTACCTACATGCAGGCAATACATGCATACACATAAAGTAAAAAATAATAAAATAAAATATTTTAAAAAATAAATAAATAACGGGGTTTTGTGTGAAATGACTCCATCTAGCTATTAGTTACCTTCTGTTGCTGTGATAAAAACACTGACCAAAACCAACTTAGAGAAAAAAGGGTTTATTTTATCTTACACCTCCCAGGTCACAATTCAACACTGAGGAAAATCAGGGCAGGAACCTGAAGCATAGCGGTACACTGCTTACTGGCTTGCTACCCTGACCTGTGCTCAACCTGTGTTCTCATACAACATAGGACCACCCACCCAGGGGTGGCACTACCCACAGTTGGCTGAACCATCCCACATTCCTCAACAATCAAGAAAATGCCACCCCCCCCCACACACACACACACTCACAGGCCAATCCAATGAAGGTGATTCCTCAACTGAAGCTCCCTCTACCCAGGCGTGTCGAGTTGACAACTGACGCTCTCTAGCACACCAGCTATACAGTGTTATAAGCCGATGAGGGTGGGCTTGGCTGAATGATAATGTTTGGGGTCAGATGTATGGAATGCGATTTTGATTTGCATGTTTATAGCATTGGAACCCCACCATGAGTCTGGAATCATCCATGTCTCTAGGCTCATCCATACCCACTGCAGTGTCTCCAGCCTAGCAGAGCCCTCAGGGCCTGGCTCACTGGGAGCACTGGACTCCTGGGATGAGTGCTGTTAGGTTCCTGCCCACTCCGTCCCCTCTGCAGCTCCCAGGGGCATGCACACGTCTCTCCCAGTCTCAGCCCAGCCTGTCTGCCCTCTGACCACAGGTTTACCGGGCACCGCTCCAGACCTGGAAAAGAGGAAACAGATTTTTGGGCAAAACTTCATACCTCCAAAGAAGCCAAAAACCTTCCTGCAGCTGGTGTGGGAGGCACTTCAGGATGTGACACTCATCATCCTGGAGATAGCAGCCATCATCTCCCTGGGACTGTCTTTCTACCACCCACCAGGAGAGAGCAATGAAGGTAGAGTGCCTGGGCAAGTCGGGGAGCACACTAGAGGGAGCATGCTTGCTGGGACTCCCGCCTCAAAGATCAATGCATGTAAAGATCAATACATGTCATATCAGTTGCATTCAGATCCTTGGCACCTGTGTATGTCTATAAAGTTATCAGGTAGATTTCAATGGTAATGTTTATCACCTCTACTAATTCATAGCTGTCTGGACTTGGGAACTGCAGGCAGAAGTTCACTTCCTCCTCACTTGATCCACAAAATGACCCTGTGGGCAGATGCTATTCTTGCCTGAGTCCCCGAGCATGCAAATGATACACCAAGGTCACCCAGCAAGGGCGGCTGAGTCACCAGCATCAGTGGCCTGAAGTGACCCTGCTGAGCAGGATAAGCTGAGGGCAGCTGGCAGAGTGTAAAGTGGAGCTCCTGGGGCCAACAGAGACCCTAGGTTCCAGACAGATGGCTGTGGCCTCTGCCATCTCTGGGGTGCACAAACTGAGGACCCAGAGCTCATGGGTGAGGGCTTGGAGTGTGACCCTAATTGTCCTGGATCCACTTCTGCCCCTCGTGGCGCCTGGGCTGGCCATACACTGGATGGAAGGCAGCTGTTTACACTGTACCCCACTAGCAAAGGGATGGAAGGAGAGAAGGCAGGAAAAGGTTCCTCACAGCCTGGCCCCACCAGGAAAAATGGAGCACCATCCACCAGCTTCAACCACGTTCTCTATGAACCCACCGTGTGGGAGTCCATCTGTTATGTTACTGACCTGCCCTCATCTCACGCACCCGAGAGCCAGCATCTCAACCCACAGAGCTCTGGCTGGCACATAGTCCCATTCCACAGGGCAGATGAAGGTACTAGGACTGGCAGGAGAAGATAGTTGTCTGGAGATGTTCTGAGACATGGGCTATGGCACCACGCCAGGTCTTGGGCTGCCCTCAGTGGGGACAGTGACAGCAAGCCTGGATGAGAGACTCACACCTGGACCTGTTTCCATGGTCAGGTGTGGGGCAAGTAAAGAAATACAGCCCTGGGCTGCATGGAGGATCTGGCTACCTCCTGAGAAGGAATAGGTTCTTAGCAGGTGGGAGAGTGAGGGCGCAGACCCCAGAAGGATGTAGGCTCAAATCCAGGTGCACTGACTTGGGGCAAGGGACTGCCCCCTGCAGCTCTGCCTTCTGATCCATGGAAGAGATATGATTCTTGTGTGGATACAGGGTAGCAGGGTCTGTCCTGAACAGTGTGTAACAGGCACTCTTGAAAAGGGCCACCGCTTCCCAGTGTCCAGCACAGCCTGGTGCTTGGTAGGTATTCTCTCACTTTCCAGCTGTCCACAAGGAGGCTCAGTGAGGCCACATCACTTACTGGGGTTATACAGCAGAGCCTCAATTTTGAAGCCAGGCCTTTCTAATTCCAGAGTCCCAAAGAGATCCATTGTCTTGAAACTGTCCCCATGAGAGCCCCATTGTGGAAACAGATGAAGGGAGAGACAGCTATCCCTCTTGCATAGCAAGTGGCAAAAAACAAGGACACTCTAAGTCTTATAAAATAAGGCATCAGCCTCTGACTAAGTGCCATTGTCCCTGCAGTGACCTGGGCTGAGTGGAACCTGATACATGCTGGGTGTGCCCAGGATCTGCCATCTTTCTGTCCCCCAGCCCCCAAAAAATATCAGCAGTCCTCCTCTCTCACTTCCAGCTGAAGCCTTGGAGCTAAGGTGGACAGTAGCTCCCAGAATCCCTCAGGGGAGGGTTGGGAACCCCTTGGCTTGGGGATGGGGGGCAGCGTCAGGGCCAGGGCTGTTATCAACCTCAACACCCTCAATCTGCTTCCTGGAGACCCACCTCACCACAGCTGGAAGACCTACAGAGGACATCAGCAAATCTGCATCTCATACCCAGAACTAGCACCACACTGGCAACTCAGACAGTGGCTCTAAAGCCATGCTGCCTAGGGTGGTGTCTCACTCCACACCTGCCCTTCCTAGCTTGGGAGGTTACTAGGCCTCTCTGAGAATCCTCAACATCCCTAACAGTAGAGGAGACAGAGCATGCACTCGTACGTTGACTGGGAGAAAACCCTTTGTCCAGGGTGAGGCACACAGAGGCACCAGATCAAATGGGTCAGTGTCAACTGATTATCAGCAACTGTTATAGCTGGGCTTTAGGTCCCAATAGAGGAGCTGCTCTCATCTGGTGGCCTGGCACTCTTCCTTTTCTCTCTGTAGGATGTGCCACAGCCCAGGGCGGAGCAGAGGATGAAGGCGAGGCAGAAGCAGGGTGGATTGAGGGGGCTGCCATCCTGCTGTCTGTTATCTGTGTGGTCCTGGTCACAGCCTTCAATGACTGGAGTAAGGAGAAGCAGTTCCGGGGCCTGCAGAGCCGCATCGAGCAGGAGCAGAAGTTCACTGTGGTCCGGGCTGGCCAGGTGGTCCAGATCCCTGTGGCCGAGATTGTGGTTGGAGACATTGCCCAGATCAAATATGGTAACTGTCCTCCTGCCACACTTCTAGAGTTGGAGTCTGGGTAGAAGTGGAACAGAACAGGCAGACACAGAAAGTTTGGCCCAGGGAATGGGGTGAGTCCCTAAAAGCTGAGATAGTGGCAAGATATGTTCTGAGACCCTGAGGGACCCAGAAAGGAGAAGGTTTCCTGAATTCAATTAAATCAAAAATGTCAAATTCGTTGCCTACGTGCCATTGCTCTCCAACTTCCACCCAGAGCAGACATGACCGATCAGTCACCACTCATAGTCTGGATACAGCTTCAGAAGCCTTCCCAGCATTCTAAGTGCCACTAATAGTCTGAGTGGTGTTATGAGACAAAAATCCATGTCCTGTGCCTGAGTTGGCTGCCAATGAGGGTTTGTGGGGTTGTAGGGGTTAAGGGGAACAGAAGTGAATCGGCCGGGCCTGGCACTGCTGTCGAGAAAGTGGGCAGGCTGGCTCCAAAGAGGGTTTGGACCAGATATGACCTGGGTAAGCAGGGAAAACTGAGGTGACCTCCTCATTCAACCTTCATGACTCACTTGACTAGAGTGTCCTTAGTCCACCCAAGACAGCCTGGTCTGTCCTGAAAGACTTCCTGCCATACCTAGACTAGAGAAAATAGGAGGGGAGGAAAGATAGGCCAAGGACACATCAGACCAAAGGAAACACATTATGGAAGACCTGCTAGTGTGGGCCGGGGTGGCTCTGTACAGGTCCCAAGGATGGCTCTTTAGCCACCCACTGGCCTACAGGCACCATCTTGATTCTGCATGCTTAGGCTCAGTCAGAACCCTCCCTCAGGGGATGCTCCAGCCTCTCTGGCTGCCTGACTCTGCTGACCCCACCCTTCCCCCACCAGGTGACCTCCTCCCTGCCGATGGCCTCTTCATCCAGGGCAATGACCTCAAGATTGACGAGAGCTCACTGACAGGGGAGTCTGACCAGGTGCGCAAGTCAGTGGACAAGGACCCCATGCTGCTGTCAGGTAAGATTAGATGTAGTCTTCAATGCTCCTATGTAGTGCTCCCAGTTCCTATCCCCACAGGGTAGGAAGTGCACAGGATCCCTGGTTCTGGGTTTGCCGGCAGGCTCAACTCCTGATGAGCACACACCCTTCTCCCAGGCAAGCACACATTGAGCCTGCCATGCACAGAGCCATGGCCAGGCTTAGGTCTACTGAAGCAAATGTCACAGAGTGCCCTATCCATGCAATGTAACTTCTAGTGGCTTGGTTTCCTGAAAAGCCAAGTACCAGAGATGAGAAAGAATCAGTCAGTGGCAGTCTTTCTGGATATCTATTGTGTGTCAGGACCTACGGCCATGGGAGTGGAGAAGGCCAAGGAAAACTGGCCCTGAGGAGCCAGTGGGATGTGAGAAGAGAGGTTGTGAGGAAATGCTGGGAGTCATGGGGGTGTGCAGAGTTCGATCAGGCAGAGGTGACTAGGAAGTCAGAGGAGGGAGCTGGCTTTGAGATTCCTGGGGAAGGACACATCCCACAGAAAAAAAAAAAAAAAAAACAAGCTCAGAGGTCCAGGAACAGGACATCACTGGAAGAGGGACCATTCTGGAAGGGGAGGAAGGATAGCAGGAGATGGATGCCATGCTTCTGGACCATGGTCAGGAATTGGGACTTATTCTGAGTGGGTTGGAGTTCCCTAGACCAGGTTACGAGAGTGATTGACAACATTGGCATTCTTTTTTTAATTTTTTTTAAAATTTTATGTGTATGAGTATATTGTCTGCATGTATGTAAGTACACCCGTGTCATGCAGTGCCTGCAGAGGTCAGAAGATGGCATTGGATCCCCTGGAACTGTAGTTACAGACAGTTGTTAGCTGCCATGTGGGTGCTGAGAATTGAACCCGGGTCTTCTGCAAGAGGAGCCAGTTCTCTTAACCACTGAGCCATCTCTCTAGCCCCAACATTGGCATTCTCTTTTTTTTTTCATTTTTTTATTTATTGATTTTTTGTGTGTGTGTTTCATATAGAACATCCCAAACAATCTTATTCTTCTATATACCTGCATCCCAAATGGCACCCTCCCATAGCCCCCCAAAGGAGTCCATATAATCTATCATCCCTGTTACTGTCCACTGTGTTGTTGGCGCCCCCAGGCGTTCCCCAGTGCTTGTCCATCTGCTGAGTCTAGTCAGCCTATCTAGAGTTCCTTGTTTTATGAAGGAACTCATAAAACAGCAAGTTCCTCATCTAGCAGCAAGCTGTTGCCAATTTTCCTTTAGATAAGATGGGAGTCTGCTGTTCATTTTCCCACTTCTATGCTGTCTTACTGTCTGGGAGTCTCTTGGGCCACCCTGGCCAACAACTCAAAGGAAGGTATCTCGTGCCTGGCATTTTTTCTTGTTATGTAGCCTTTAGCTATACACATGAACTCTTAAAGAATTATATTGATCCCTTTAATCTTTAGTTATACTTTCCTTTTGGGTGTTTAAGATGATACAGTTGGCCCAGATAAGCCAATTTATTTTTACTCTTAAGGTCGTTTGAGGATCTGTTCCTCAGGGGTCACATGGGCTTGGGAGAAGCCCCTGGCTCCTTTCTTTTACCAATTCCACCTATGTAAAGATAAGTCAAAGGTCCTCCTCGACCACGGTTGGCTTCACTTGGAAGCATGGAGGAAATGTTTCACTGTGTTGACCCTCCTCTTTGTAGACTGGACACTGGTTCAAGTCCATCTGGTGGGGTCTCCATGGCCTCCTTGATCAAAATGACAGGTGACTCACCACAGTTACAGGACATTTTGAGAGGTGCTCATAGTTCCCTGGAACTTAGTAGACCTTGGAGGGCAAGGAGCAAAAACTATCCTTTAAGTCCCTCTGATCAAATTACTAAAGGCCTCAAAGTATGGCTGTTAAACATTCAAGAAGGTTAGTTCCACCAGTCTGGTACTTTTAATTACCATGTGCTATGTATATAAAGGTTGGGCAAAGACCACCTGTTCTCAGATAAACCTTGCCTAGACATATATTATGTTCCTGAGCTAGTTGTATGTATAATTTGTCAGTAGGTTGTTGGATTAAGATGGTTCCCTCTGGATTTTTAAAACTAGCTAAACATTATCTCTCACATTGTCTAACCCTTCCACCATGGTTTCCCCATTTAAAGTGCCCCCATTTTTCCCATTTCTCCTTTAATAATATCCTTCTCCTATGGTCCCACCTGTCTTGAGTGGTATAACTGGGTCTTTCACTTTATCCCCAAGGTTCTTTATATAGCCCTCCCTCCTCTCCCCTTAAAATAACCTCATTTTTTCCATATCTCCCTTATTAACACCTGTTTCCTACTGTTCTTCTCTTTCAGATTCTTTCTTTTCCTTTACCTCCTTGGTTCCTTTTCATTATCCTGGTTCCTGTAGTTATGTCTGGATACATACTCACTTATCAGTATTTGGTGCTAGGATTCGCATATGCAGGAGAACATACATCTTTTTTTCCTGAGTCTGTGCTACTTCACTTAGTGTAACAGTTTTTAGTTCCACCCATTTACCTGCAAATTTCATGATTTCATCTTTCTTTATTACTGAGTAAAACTCCATCGTATAAATGAACCACATTTTCATTATCCACTCATTGGTTGAGGGACACTTAGGTTGCTTCTATCTCTTAGCTATTGTGAAAAGAGCAGCAACAAACATGGATGTACAAGTGTCTCTGCAATAGGATGAGTTCTTTGGGTATATGCCAAGAAGTGGTATAACTGGGTCAAATAGTAGGTTCACTTTTAGGGGTTTTTGTTTTGATGTTTTTGAGACAGGGTCACCCTGTAGTCCCAGCTGGCCTGGAACTCAACTCTCTATGTAGACCAAGCTGGCCTCAAACTCACAGAGATCCGCCTGCCTCTGCCTCCCAAGTGCTGGGATAAAAGGCGTGTGCCACCATGCCCAGCCAGTTTTTTTAAGAGTTCTCCACACTGAATTCCATAGGGGTTGAACAAGTTTGCAATCCCACCAGCAGCGGATGAGCGTTCCCCTTTCCCCACATCCTCTCCAACATTTGGTATCACTTATTCTCTTGATCTTAGCCAGTCTCATTGGGGTAAGATGAAATCTTAAAGTGGTTTTAATTTCATTTCCCTAATTACTAATGATGTTGAACACCTTTTAAGATGTTTCTTGGCCTTCTTTATTTCTTCTTTTGAGAACGCTCTGTTCAGCTCGTTAGCCCATCTTTTAACTGGGTTACTTCTTGTCTGATTCCCAGTTCTTTGCTGGGTTACTATCTGG